TGATAACTCCTATCTGAGGAGGCTTCATTTCATGAAGTAGAAATGTCAGATAAGACTGGCATTAAATAATTTCTATAAGGGTTTTAGAAACAATTACAGAGATCTGGCAAATGCTTTTCAATGCTTTTCTTTCTGCCGATGACATCAGATTTACAGAGACTTCTATTAAAGGAACACAAACCCCCTTGGTATTCAGTAAAACTGTATCTTTGTCACATACCAATTAGACCAGACTCACTTAGTCCATAGTTTGCTTGTCATTTTTGAGGTGAATGCTTACATCAGCAGATAGCCTAGTTTAGGTGTTGGTATGAACAAGTTAAAATCAATAGAGCTTGCAAGCCTTACTATTGGAAAATAGGTCATAATTTCAATATGTGTTAGGTGTCAGAGTGTAACAAGATTTAACTACTGAGTATGAAGTTGCTCCAGCTCCTCACAGGATGTGCATGTTGCAATCTTAGTGTAACTTAAATGGCTTTTTAGCACCTCTTCAGGATTAATTATGTTCTCTGAGTAATGTGCTTGGATGGAACATTACGGTAGTAACTGTTGTTTTGTTATTACCATGAACAGCTTTAAAAAAATTAGAGAAGTAAACCCAATCAAAATTCAAATTGATTCCCCCCTGCCCCCCGCCCGCCCCTGCAGTTTCTGTTCAGTCATTGCTTAAACGGGAGTTGTAGCTGTTCAGACCTCCCTCTTCCCAAGAATTCAGGCAGGAGGAACTTAAATGTTCCACTTGAAAGTACTTTCTTGCCATTGCTACATGGCCTTAGGAATAGCATAATGGCAGAAATCATGTGTTGGATGTTTTCTCAGTTCCTCCCTGCATTCCTCAACAGTCCATTTCTCAGTTACACCCTTTCCCTTCAGATAGTTAATTTTTTGCATTAAGTAGAGAAAAGTAGTCCTGGCCGAATAGCTTTAGAAAATATGAAGGTTCTTCCTGCTACCGTTGCTGACATCGTTAAGTGTATATAACCATGACAGGAGGTAATACCCCAAAAGAACTGTTCGGTAGTAGGAATATACTATACTGAATATTAAAGACACTGATGTGGGCTGGACAAGAGAGAAGACAGATGAAGGTTCAAATTCACAATGAAGAATGATAGATGAGAATTTTGAGATAATCTAGCGTTTGGAATTAATGTGTGTGGTTTACTGACAATATTAATAGTGTCATCTAGGATCCTGTCCTGCTATCATGAAAATAAGTATTAAAACAGGGGGAAAAAAAAAAAACTTAGTATGATTTCTGTTGTATGTTTGTATTTGTAGTATTTCTTTTATCTAGGATGAGGAAGAACCAACAGTTTTCTGTTGTACTGATGACTAGTTTACTTTTTAGTTCCCACATGCCAAGCCCATTGCAGAGAAAATCCCCATACATATTATAGGTAGAATTCAAGAGAAAATTTGTATTTGAGTAATTGTTATTACTACCATTGTAAATAAAAAGTGCACTTTCCAAAATTTATCTAGAAAATCTGAGAGGATTTGTTTTGCCGAGCTTTTTGTTTTTTCAGAGTTTTTTTGAGAACCAGTCCACTCATCAGAAAGGGAAGCTGAATTTGACTGAGTTTTCAAAGGTACATGTTTAAAGTTAGCTATGCAAATCCCACAGGCATTTTGCAGAGAAAACTCTGCAAAAGCAAGGAACCTTTTTTCACTTCCCAGATATTATCAAGCCTATGAACACATGGAAACGTTCTACTTAATCTGTAGCAAATTAAACCTATGTATACGGAACTGTATCTAAAAAGATATTAATCTAATTTTCTGTTTATGGCAAAAAGTTTATTGTGCTAATGTGGTTGGGGTTTAAAAGCATGGGTAAATGGATAATTAATAATGCTAAAACTCCTGTGTGGCTTAGCCTGTCAAATATATAAAAAAGTAAATAAAGATATGCTTCGTTTCAAATTTGTTGCATTTTCAGAAAAAAATGTTCTTGTATCTTAAAATGGCATTTAGGAAACAATTCATAAAATATACCCTTTTAAGAAAATACTTTTGTCCTTTCTGACTTTCCTCAGTTCCAAAACATTAATGATGTATTAAAACAAACTTGGGTTTTCATCAAAAGATAATACCAAAAAAGCATCAGTCTTATAGTGTATATATATGTTTTAACCTAACATTGAAGTTGAATATTCTTATTCTATTTACATTTAAGTATGACTTAGAATAGTTAACATACAAGCTATCACAAATTAAGATTGATATTAGAACATAAAAGCGAGATAGTGGATGTGATTCAAAGATTTGCAGGATCTCACCTTTCATAGTGATAGCATTTGTGTTTTCTTCACTGGACAAACACTGCACAGTGTTGCATAACTGGGATTGGCTTTTCAGACTTCAGCAGAGCTTGACATTTATTTGTTCTTTTAAAACCATAGGATTGGAATTGAAAGAAATGAATGGAATCAATAGATCTTAAAATTTTGTTCAATTCAAGGCTTTAGTGATGCTTTTCCTGTTTCTGGAAAGTATTTATTTCCTGCTGCTACTGCCATTAATTTACCATTACTTGACATCTTTGACTTACAAAATTGTGAAAGATACACAGTGATCATTTTTAACCACTAATCTGCTGACACAGTTGGCCTAATTTAAATAAGCACAATCAATGACACAAGGCACAGGCATACTGTGTGTGATGAATGCATTTTGAGGCCCAAGGGTCAAAAGACAAACACCATATTAGTTTTACTTGGAAGGGAGCTACGGAGTGGGCTGAGTGTGAATAAATAATGGAACTCATCTTCTGTCTAGATGTTGCTAAATCATATCTAAATTCCTTAAAATACTTGAGAGACAGAATGTTTACTTTCCAGGTAAGCTAGATTGCACCAAGCACTGGTTAATTAGAAGAAAAATTTTTGCAGAAAGTTTATGCCTCTGATAGTCCTTAATCCATTTACAGTGTAACTGTTCTGTTTGGACATGGCCCTGTGCTGACTAAATCAGTACATATTCAGGAACTAAATGCAAACTTCTCCAGCCAATGTACTTAAAACCAAGTCCAGTGATTTTAAAAAAAAAAAAATTAAAAATTGCCTTCTTCCTTGACTGTGAGCATTTATACCTGCTTAAATGAAAAAAGCAGGTGACTGTGCAACACATATATCATAGATTTTATCGATAGCACAAACACCAGGAGTAACAAGAACTAAGGAAGTACTATCATCCACAAACTCAGGTGGAGTTTCAGGTTCTTGTAAGGGCTAGAGACAATGAACATTCTCCTGAAAAGGAGTACTGTATTCTACTATTAATATGTTTGTCTTACCCCATCTGTATCTTGCTGTTCTCTACATTCATAGCAGGAAAGAGCTGGTTGTGGAAGGGGAAAGGTAGAGAGAAAGAAAATTAGCATGAATCTGAAGAGGAAAGAGATGCTTTCCTCTGCATCTTAAATAAAGTTTAGCAGCTGCTTCATTTAATAATACGTGCAAGCTAACAGGGAAACTGACTGAAAATGGAAATAGGGTAACAGTTAAAATTCTTTCCTTATTTGGCACTAATGAGAAACCTGGGGAAAAAAAGAGATGAAAAATACTTTTCCTAAATGCTTTAAAAATATAATAATCTTAAATAGGTATTTAAATCATAATGGAGAAAGGAGTGAAATAAAATTGTGGTTTTTTAAAATAGGCAGTATATTGCTTTAACTCTATAATTGAATTCCGTACTTAATTATAATCCAAAAAGAGAAAATAGTATGAAATTGACCTCTGCACGGAAGAAACTTTGAAAGCTATGTGACTCCCTTTTCCTTGATTTCTGTTTCACAGTGTGGAGAACTAACAAAATCAGTTGATTTTTGCCACTTCTGTGAAAGGGCAAAGTGTTTGACAAGAAATATCTGAAATCTCACAGAAGAGCTTCTGCAGGTTTTGGAACAAGACTTCCAAGCTTTCTCTCGTCCATGAACATCTGGCTGCATGTGAAATTTTGTTATGAAGGAATTAGTACAGTTGCTTAATTCTCAGCTCTCTGATAGCCATAGATTAACTGAACTTTTAAAAAGAGCTACTGAGAAGCTACAGACCCACATATAATATGTATATCATGCAGTAGTCTACAGCGTGTTCTCCCTTTCCTTGTGTACAAAGAATTTCAGTCTGCTTTAGCACTGGTTATTTCATAAAGGCCTCTATGATCCTTGGTATTACTTTAACTGCCCATTTGCACTTACACATTGAGTCATATGATAGCTTTGTGTAAAACTCTACAGAAATACAGGATGGTTTATGTATAAAGAAATGAGAGTGGGGCACAAAAAACCCAACACAATTTGAACTGGAAATAGCACATAATAAAATATACAGGAAGTTACTGAAAGTAAGATGTAAAGCGAAAATGGCAATATATTTTCTAAGAGCGTTTATTTAACACTGACGGTCCAGCCTAAAGAAATCTATGAAATTCTCGTCCTACTTATTACTTCAGTAAATAAAGTTATGCAGATCGTTTGCTATGCAACTTATCCTGGCTGAATAACACCTATTTTCTATTGACTTGAGTAGTTTGACTTCTGTCCAGAAAGAATATCCTGCGAGAATTATCATATAGTGAAGGTGGACAGGAGGGTGGTCCATATGTACAGGTAGAGATCCTTTCAAAATAAGAATCTGCATTTTGTAATGGCCATATATAAGAAACAATCGGAGGGCGTAGGATACCAACCGTAAGGTGTACAAATTTGACTTAGGTACACTTCTTAAATATTTAAAGCTATGTAAGTCATAAATCAATACATGTAATACATTTTGACCTTACATGGAATTGAATACAACACACATGAAGGTCTGAGTCATGTTACTGCTGTTATTGCCATTTCTTGTATCGGTACTGAAGTGCAGAAATGTGCTGGGGGTTGCTGTGGTTATTTTTAAGAATATTTTCAGAGCTTTCTGTCTATCAGCAAAAGCCATGATGAAATTTTGTGTCTTATGGCAAATAATCCTTCTCTTTTCTCTTTGTAGATGTTGATGAATGCCAGGCTATCCCTGGAGTCTGCCAGGGGGGAAACTGCCTTAATACAGTAGGTTCGTACGAGTGCAAGTGTCCTGCTGGTCACAAACAAAATGAGGCAACTCAAAAGTGTGATGGTAAGTGATGCTGTCAGGGAACATACCTAAAAAGTAGTTAAGTAAAGCATTAGAGCACTTTGGTAATGAAAGAAAAAGTTCTGAATAGGTGCAGTGTCTGATCTGAACACACATAACATCATTGTACTGTGCTTTTTGTTTCTTCTTCACAGCATTGTCTGTTTCTACTTTGCTCTTCATATTTTGCATTAGATGTTTTTTTCTGTCTGACTTGTGTGGGTAAAGACAGTTTTTATCCTGTTTCAAAATTTAGAACTATTAATGTAGAGTACATCTGTGAGCAGCATATAACTGCAGCTGAGTTATTAGGATTTTGTTTGTTTTCTCAAAAATATCCAAAACATTCTAGTACAGATAGATGTTTTCAGCCTACTGACTACAGCATGAAAAGCAAATGTGGCAGTTTTGGAAATGGATGTAAGAAATTTCTGCAATGTACAGTTTGTGTTGAAGAGCCTGGGTAAATAAAAAATACATAGGAAATGTCTTTCTTTTTTAGATGAAAAATCAAGTAGACCATGTTTAATAAGTGTAGTTTAATAAACATTAATCATGTTTATTCAGTAAACATGTTCGTGCAATTTGAGCCACAATTCTGTATAGTTTAAAGTGGTGTGATAGAAAATTGCTGAGTTTTTATGGGTTTGATGAAGACTTCACTGATCTGAGAGAATTTGCCATGCCTTTGAAAGAAATCAGAACTCTCAAACTTCATCCCAACCAATGGGTACCTTCACATTCAAGTTACACAGATAAGAGGACTGTTTGTTCAAGGCTTTGGCTTGTGGTTAGGTGGCAATTTACATATGTTACCAAATCAGATTATACTCAGTTACAAGTATACTCAGTATTCAGTTACAAACAAATACATAGTTTGTAGTCAATTTTGGAAGTCATCTTAGAATTTTCGTTAGTTTTGCCTACAATACAGAAATCACAGAAAAAGTAATACAATTAGTTTGAAAATCACATTTTATAAGTGAAAACATTGCTTCTGGTGTTGTTGCAAGTAATACCAAAGAGTAAGTAAGGCAAAAATCCAAATATATTTCTCTCTGGTCCTGTCCTCCACCTTCTTCTGTTTTTTATGTTGACTAATTTCAACTTCTGCTCAGTACACTATGATATTCCTGTCATGAGTTTTTGTAGAGGAAACCTGGCTATATGTTGTTAAAACCTTCCAGGAAACAGTTTGCAAGAAATACAGCTGCAACCATAGAAATAGGGCTTTCCTTACTACGGTTGAGGAGAAATAGAAGCAGCTTATGTATGTGTCTGTGCATGTGTGTATCTAGCTGACTGTATACAAGACTGTGCTGATACGTAGCCAGCATATGCAGAGAGGTTTAGGGGTCTGCAGGGAGCAGTCAGTTCACAGGGAAAGCCTTGCTGAGACACTGGGGAAAAGAATCTCTCCATACCTGGAAGACAGTTGAACAGTGCAAGAGTTGTAGAGCAATAGAACAGTATTGCACCATCTCCAAAGCCTTGTGGAGGATCAAGGGAGAAACCAGAAGGCACCAAGTGGCGTGAGGAATCCTACAAAAGAAGATAACTGGAAGGGAAATTTGTAATTGGATTCACTTTCTTTGGGAGAATTAAATCCAAGGCATTTTATCTGTCCTGTGCTGCATGGCAACCTGTGAGAAATAGGGCTAAGCATGAAGTGGGCAGCACATGCTATTAAAATCTTTCATTTTTTGTAGGAGACAGAATGGGAATGTAACTATAGGCAAGAGGTAGTGGGATTTTTCTTGCCAGGGAGATGAACAGGAAGGAATACCTGGGTAGGATACAAGAGATTTGTAGGCCCTCAATGAGTCATCAGCGTATAGGAAGGAAAACTGTAATTAGAAGAGAAGGAAGAGGGCAGGGTGCTTTGTTTTCCCTTCACAGGAGCCATCCTTTGAGCTTGCCTATGTTGGAAAAAGCGGAAAGGAGGTAACTGAGACCACGTATCTACTGCCCCTGCTGTTTTTGGAAAAGGACATCATGCTTATCAGCTTGTAACCCTTTTCTTGGCTTCTTTCTCCTCCACCTATGTGGAAAGAAGTCCAAAGGATGAAGCATCCATTTCCATTCACTACTAACCACAAAAACCCAGCTGCTGTTGGAATTGCATGCCACTTGATCGCTGGCTTTTAAAATTACAACTTTATTTCCTTACTGAGTAATAGTGGCAATGGGTGTGGGGGCATTAACCATAGATGAAGCAGAACACAAAGTGTGAAGACATACCGTAACAATGCAACACTACTTGCTTTTTTCTGCTAATGGACTGTAATCATTTGGAAAGGTAAATTGGCAGATATCATTAACAATTACATGCAACTTAGTTCATAACTTTATATAGCAATGTCTGGCAATATTATCAGTTCAGACATGATGATGCGGGTATATAACTTGTGCACCAGAGCTAACTTGTATCCTAACAGCTGAGAGCACAGGCACAGTGAACTTAACAGCTACCTATACCCACCTTAAATCTGACATACACCTGACATTATTAATTTTTCTAGTATCTTAATGCTATCATTAGCTTCTAAGCAATGTACTTCTGCAATGGTCACATAACATTTAGGAAGTGAATAAGCATCTACTGTTTGCAATTGTCTTTGCATAACTGACATAATCATTTTATGTTACGTGGGATGTCAAACAATAAGTACAGTTATCATGATTTTGAAAAATTCTGGCAATTTAGTTTATCTTTCAGTAGAATTCAAGCTTAAGTTTACTGAGCATCACAACATAAAGTGCACAAAATTCAGAAATGTTTTCTTGTAATTATGCCATTAAATATAAACAACTATCAGAAAAAGAATTTGCAAGTGTCAAGTATTTTCCAAAATGTGACTGCGATGCCTCACTTGAAAGAACGGATTTGAAAATGTTAGAACTGTAATCATTTCAAAGCTGAAGCAAAACCAGCTGTAATTGCTAAAACACCAAGTAGTATATTTGATCGTGTAGGCAATGTATAGATTAGAAATATGTGCTTTGTTGTTGCTTGTTACTCATCTTGGATTTGTGTTGTCAGTTGCAAGAGATTTCATTGTAAAGCTTTTATTCAAATTGGTATTTGAATTACATCTTTTTATTTTGACAGGACTTCTTTAGCTTGGGACTGTTTAGAACTTTTTATAGTATTAAATGCAATGATTACTTCAATGTTAGAGAGTAACTTTTATGCTTTTTGATGAATAGTTACTTATCCTTGTTCATTAGAAGTGGACTTGGTTTTTTTGATTCTCTTGGTCTTGGGGTATTTATTATTATTCCGTGAGACTTGTACAGCAGGAGTAGGACCATAGTGGTTTTGCCCAAGCTAGCTGTTGAGCTGTTAATCCTAAAAAAAGGCATTTCTAATGTGATAAATACATCATCAAAGCAGAGACAGCATTTGAATATCTGTTATGATGGACTACTGTCTCAGTTCAATAAATGAAGTCCCTGTTCTGATGATGTTCATGATCTTCCTGGGGCAGTGCTCATGCTTTACTGCTGTTAACTCTAGCAGAACTCCATGTGAAGGATGCCTGATACCTCCTTTCAGGCAAGGATGCAGTTAAAATACACCAAACAGATGTTTTCATAGAGATCCAAAAAATGCAGGTCATTTTGCGTATGTTATGTTTCTGCCTGGCATCTGCACTCCAGCTTTGATGCCAAAAGGAGAACTTATTCAGTGATATGTTTCCTTCCTTCTGTAAACAGTAATTAAACCATTCTTTGCATTCTGCTTCTGTAACCTATCTAAAGCTCTGCATTAATTGTTAAAAATGTTATTTAACAGGTCTCCTTGATGGTATTCACAGGTAAAAGTGAACGTATTTTTAACACATATCTACTTAAAAATCTGTGATGCTTATGGGACTGTGCTTGATAGAAGTGAAACATCATCTGGAGTCTGAAATATTTGCTGTTACTTCATAGTTCAGTAATCAGTGGGTTTTCATTTCCTGCTTTGTTGGCGGCATACTGCAGAACAGGTCATATGCTTTGGCTTTATTTCTTCTAAGCCCTTGCCACTTCTGTCTGTGTCAGAAGTTAGGTACTAATTAGTCCCTGGTCACAGCTTCCGTACTAGCTTCCCTAGTCACATAATTCCACACAGGGAATTATGCAGATAACAACCCACAGTGCCCAGTTTGTACCATTTTTTCTGGGGAAAAAAAAGTTGTGAAACTGGTACTTGTCCATTTCCCTGTGCTTCACAGCCGAGGTGGTAATGCCAAAATTATACCAGCATAGTACCATGCTTGCATTATTCCAAGAAAAGAGCAGAGAATGAAAACCAAGCATTGTTTTATTTAGACTTTTTTTGGTTTTTTTAATAAAGACTTTGAGAGTTCATAATCTCTCAGTGTGGGATTTATAGAATGAAACTATAGCCAGTCCTTCAAACAGTTGTACTTCAGTTAGCGGGACTGGTCATTTGAGTGAAGTTACATTGTTTATGGATTGGGCCATTGGGAAGAATATGAGGAATTGGTCTCCTACAAGTTAGAACCTGTGTACAGAGAAATTATTGAATAGAAGCTGCATTGTGTTAATGAAGTTTTTTATTTAGAACAGTGCATGGAAGTGATGTAGTATGGAGTATTCTGTTCACTCCTTTCCCTTCTTTAAGTATAGAAAACCAGATCAAATATTACTTGCTGGCTACAAAGGACAAAATCCAAGTTGGAGTCAGTAACCAGGCAAGGCTCCAGTGTTCAGAGGCAGAGGCTAGAATCTTATACTAACTATTCAGACCTTCTTTATTTAACAGCAAGTCTTCTACTTAAGAAAGAGGGATTTGAGATGCCCTGCTATATCCTTTGCCCCTAAACATCCAAATGTGTTATGTGGGTTAGGATTTTTTTCTCCTACTGTTCCTTCTGGAAACAAAAGCTATTGTTAGAGTAAGTAGGAATGCTCATGTTTTGCTCTTTGTGCCTTAGTGGATTTTGCTAGAACTATGCTAAGCAATAAACGTTGCTTTGCTAGGCTATTTG